AACAGAAAGAATGCCAACTATTGGTTTTATGTCCAAAGTGAACATATCGCCTTTCCTCTTCGACTTTAACAAGACTTGCTTTTTTTATTTGTTCAATATCACGCTTCCTTCTTCATCAAAAAGAACTTGATTCTCAGTTCCAACAACAAGTTGAGATATGCTTATAAGGTTGTGTTTCAAACCTTCGACATAACAACCCTTTTTACATTAAACTTCCCATTTGTCACCTTACCATACACCATGACTTTACATTTTTGATTGTTCCCAAACTTCACCACTCCAGCATTCTCTAGCTTCCTAAAATCTCTCAAATTTTCCTTCCTTCCTGTCATTTGACGCGATCATCCACTATCGATATACCAGTTACCGTCATATTGATCATCACATAGTACATGCAATCATTCAGAGAGATTTAGATCCCCAAGGCTTTTTAAGTCCTTGGATATTAGTGTGAAAAGTGGTGTGAAGTGACGAACTAAAAATCCAACTACGAACTTTCATTTTGATTTTCTCAATTAAATCAACTTCTTCTGATTTGGGCACAAAAATATAATCATTCAATGGCAAAGTTTCAATTTTGATTTTCTATTTTCAACCTTTTTCTCAGAAAAGTCAAATTTCTTGTTTGGTTTAACTTCTCGCCGTTTTGAAGGTTTCGTTAATGATTCATGTGACGAAGTACTTCCACTCATTGAATCAGTCAAGTAATTTTCATTAGCCTTTTGGACTTATTCTTGAGAACACTCTTTGGACTGAATTTTCTTTCGTTTTCCCTCAAACCAATGATTAAAATTATTCATCTCATTTTTGCCTTTTACAAAAGAAACATTCAATTTGTGCTTTGAATCGGGATTTGGAAAACGTGGACCATCATGTTTGAATGGTACATTTTTCTTCACAATATTCATTGGTTTTGAGAATTTTGTATGCGAAAAAGGTTTTTGTGATTTTTGTTGAAAATGATTTTGGTATCGATTTTGATATCCAAAATGATATTTTTTTTTTGAAAACCTTGATTATTTTGCGAAAAATTATTTTGAGTGTTTCTTTTAACATTGTTTTGACCTTTTTGAACTTGTTTCACTTGTGACCTTTGATCAACTTTCATGTTTTGAGAAAAATCATTTTGACTCTTGTTCTCAACATTTATATTAACAGCTTTGGGAACAACTTTTGAATGTACTTTTGAAGTATGAGTTTTAGATTTTTGAGAAAACTTCTTTTCTTGATATTGTGTTGACTTTTGTTTCAATTTCTTTTCTTTTTGAAAATCTTTTCTTTTCTTCCAATAAGCTTTGTTTTGAGATTTCTTTTTGGAAATCTCATCTTTTGAAACAAATTTTTCATCACCATTTACGAAAGTTTGAGTCTTTGCCTTTTGATTGTTTAAATCATTAGGTAAAGACTTCTCACCACTTTTCTCTGCTTTGCCTTTGTTATTAGGCTTGACAGTTTTCACAACCCAAACATTATTTTTAATATTTTTATTGTCTTTTGAAAAAGGTTTTTGAAATTGAAAAAAGCTTTTGACTCTTTGATGTTGAAAAGTTTTTGATCTTTGATTCAAATCATTTTCCACAACATTTTGAGTAGAATAAAACCCTTCATCAGTCACTTTTGAATTATCTTCTTTTAACAATGCATTCAGTTTTAGATTGACATTATCCCCATTCCCAGTCGTAACGAACACTTGATTTGGATGTCCTTTAATAAATTGGGGATAAAGAACTGAGTGTGTTTCAAGAAAATGTTTTCCTTTTTCTTTCAAAATATTTGTGAATTCCTCTGTGTCCTCAAATACTTGAGCTTCAACAACTCATGTAATTTTTTTTTCACAAGAATCATCATCCCTATCACTTTCATTATTAGTTGTGTCTTCAACAATAACTGACTCTTGAGAATCATCATATTTAGTTGTCGAAGATGAAACATTCTTTAGCTTCATTTTTAAATCAACATTTTCTTTGCCTTTACCTAACAAAGTGATATTAATGACATACAATTTTGAGCAATCAACACATTCATCTTCCTCAATTTCACTGATATTGTCAGAATCATCTTCGATATCAGCAAAATTTTGTTGAGTACTTTGTGTCGAATTCTCAGTTTTGTTCAAAATTTTCATTTGTTTGCTTTTGGTCAAAGTCTTATTCACAATATCAACTAATTCATCAGCACTCAAACAATCATTAATATTCACAATACCATATGCATAAGAATCATTAGGAACTTGATCAAATTCAGCTACATTACTCTCACAATCAAAAGTAGTTTTGTCAACTAATTCACGTTTGAAATTTATGAATGGGAATAACTTCCTATGTTGATTTTGTTGTCATATTAAGTAACTAATGCATATATCACTACTTCAAATCTATATTAATTAATAACTAGATGTGTGTCCGTGCAAAACAGCGACCATAAATAGCTCTTTTGTCGAATAGTTTTTTTTTACGAGGAAATAATTGTTAGATTTTATTATTAGTTATTATATAATAAAAAAATTACCACTTTTAAATAAAATATTTATGTTTAGACCTTATATTTATATTGTCTATTTATACATTTGATGTAAATTGATTATTATCGTTGTCTAGTTTAAAAAATATAAATTAATTTATATACATGAACTTAATATTTTAAAATAGTCATTTTGTTCGAAATTAAATTTCTTAATAACCTTCTTTAATTCAAAATTTTAAACTTTTGGCAAGTATTAATGATCTATTTTTGTATAATTGATGTGTACAAAGAGCTTTGTATTTTATACCTCTTAAAATTCAAGAAATAACTAATATGCTTTATAATATAGTATAAGATAAGATATGATTTTGATTCTTAATAGTTTGGTCATAGATCTCATTTTGAACTATTTATAGTATTAATGATAGTTTTATTAATCTTGATCTTGTTCTAATCTTCTTGGATTGTTTTTATTTTTATTTTATTTTATTTTTTTTAAATGTTGGAGTTGGGTGTTATATGATAAAAAAAACTGTTCTGTAAAACCTTCTAAGCAACCCCTTTTTGATAGTGTTGAAGTGGAAATAGATTGATAGGCTTTAGCATAATAGTATATGAATGTATGTGAAATCTAGATCTTTAAATCATTCATGCTCATTTCTTGATGTGAATGTATGTGAAATCTAGATCTTTAAATCATTCATGCTCATTTCTTGATGTGACGGAGAAACAAAATGACATTGTTACAAACATACTTGGTGTTGGTGATTTGTTATCATCAATATTAGTTAAGTGTAATGAGATTACTTTGTTGACCAAAGGCGATCTTGATAAATATTAAACAAGTAAGGAATGTGTGGAGTACACACTTGTTTAAGTTTGATCAAGTTTTCAAAGTACACTGTCATTTAGGGGCGAAACCCCTAAACGAACGGGGGTCCGGGGGCAGCGCCTCTGGGAGTGGGGTCCAAGGGGCGGCAGCCCCTGGCTGGGGTCGATAAATTCGGTTTTGGTCTCATTTTCTGGTACAGACGAAACTATCATCAAAGCATTCTAAATTCTTGTCTCTCTGAGTCTTATCCGATTAAAGAATATTGGGAGTACCACCCAAATGCTTTAATCTGAAAGTGTTTTACACAATTCTCAGAATTCCAAGCCTTATTATACCCCAAATTTCTAACACTTGGATTTTATAGCCTTTATCCTAAAAAAAATTAGAAAATAAGACAAATTCAGTATAATTTCTTAATGGGTTTCTAAGATTTAGTAAAAAACATTTTTTTCCCCCGAGAAAAGCCATAAAATCGCAGATGTGCTTATATTTGGCTGCAAATTTTCATTAGTGGGTTGCGATTTCCCCCAACGAGCAGTGATTTTTCCTAATGAGAGGCTAATGGTAAAATCGGGTTAAAAGTAATAGAATTGCATCTTAGATGGTATATACACATTTGCGATTGACAAATCTCTAATTCATCAGTTGTACATTAGAGTATTAGACTACAGGATTGTACAATCACATATGGGTATGTTTTCTGCGATTTCCCTCTATAATGTATGCGATGATACAAGTTCTAAAAACATAAGGTACACGATTTTAATAAGAACAAGTTTCTAATTTGTAAGATATGATGAAATAAAAATATGACATAGGGCCGAGCCCGTGTAAAATCACAGCCCACTGAGGTCAAATCATAGCCAAACGCAAATCACAGCCCATCAACTCTCATCTACGGCTATACGGGTCGATTTTTAATTTTTTGGCTATTTTTTGGAATGCAATTATTATCATTTTTGTTATTATTGTTATAATCATACCATCTATTTTAGTTAATTGATAATTCAAAATACGTTGGCAAAATATGTTTGCCAAATGCCAATCGACCTACAGATATTATAGACAAAATTCAAAATACGTTCGCCAAATATTTTAGTTCTCGGTTTGATATCGATTACGACAGTAAACATGAAACCAAAACTAATATTTACAGTTTCAGTCCCTGAGGTAAAAAAATAATAATAAATTCACAGTTTCAGTCCCTGAAGTAACAAAATTCAAAATACGTTCGCCAAATATTTTAGTATTAAATATGAATCCAAAGTTAATATTTACAGTTTCAGTCCCTGAGGTAAAAAAATAATAATAAATTCACAGTTTCAGTCCCTAAAGTAATAAAATTCAAAATACGTTCGCCAAATATTTTAGTAGTAAATATGAAACCAAAATTAATATTTACAGTTTCAGTCCCTGAGGTAAAAAATAATGAAAATTCAAAGTTTCAGTCCCTGAGTTAAAAAGTTGCTTTCATTGAGAGTCGAACTCAAGACCTCCCGCTTACTAAACGGGTGCTCTAACCAACTGAGCTATGAAAGCAAGTTGTTTTAAATCGGCTCAAAACTATTTTATTTTAAAACATTATTATCAGTTCCCAAAAATTAGAGATAACTCATTGTGCCTGAAAACGACTATCATTATAAAGTATCATTCTAGCTATCATTCCCAATAACATTACAAAATCGAAAGTGGGCAAAACCCCAAATATATTCTCATAACTACTACTAAAACATAGATCAGCAAAAAATTTCATAAAAGTGAAATCAATCTAAGCTACATTGACACCTATCGGATTAACAAGTTTCAGACCCCAACTCATATCTTCACAATGTCGAACATGAGGAACAACTTCACCAGTATCAATCCCACTTCTCGTTTTGCAATCGAAAAACGGTGGAGCATGAAAGCAAGGTTCAATCGACATGGCTTTAGTGCAAGCTGGATTTGGGGTTGTTTCATTCTCGGGTTTATTCAAGATCCATGGATTCAATCCTCCAAGACTTTGAGCTACATACCCAAAAGTTGACCATGAACTCGTAATCAACTTATCTGTTAAACTCAGTAAGTACATTTCTGCCCATGCTTTCCTGTTATGCATCTTCTTCCCCGTTTGTTGATACCCTTCATGACTCGGTTGAAAAACTTGAATCACTTCTCCTGTTACAGTCGGATATTCCCAATACATGTCTCGTATCTTCTCAAAGTATCCCGAGCTTAAAGATGTTAAAATTACAGCTTTTGAGATTTGGTTTTTTGGTGTTACAGAAGATTCGTTTTGATTGATTTCTGGAAGAAAGTTGTTGTGTAAAGAACATGAGAGGATTTGATCGAGTACGTATTGAAATGGGCCAGGTCTCGTGTCAAAAACTCTCACTTGGATGCCGATTTTTTCATCTGCTTGTGATAGATATGAGTTGTAGTATCGTGTTATGAGACCCCAGATTGGATTTGTTGGGAAGAACAGATATCTGCCTAAAAAATGGAAAACCGTTTGTTGATTTGGGAAGAGGGTGAGTAGTTCTTGTTCGAATGATGGCATTAAGAAAAGAGATGGGATGAAGTAGTTGTCAGATTTCATGATTACCCATGGAACGTTTTGAAGAAAGCTTTGATCTTGATCGCAGAAGAAAAGCTTGTCATTAGCATCGTAATCATGAACCAGATGAAGATACACATACCCTGATGATGAAGATGATGATGATGAATTGTTTGATACTATACTACCGAAACACTCGGGAGATTTCTGATTCAAGGTTTTGAATTGATCATAGATTGGGAAATCGAGAGGGAGTAGCCATGAGACTTCAGGGAAAGGTTCGCAGAAGAGATCATCCATGTCAACTCCTCGATCAATAAGTAAGACTCGATCTGTTAAAAGGGCGTAAAGAAAAGCCGAACCCAAAGTCAAGATTCTGTTCCCGAGTCCACTGAACGAAACCCAGATCAGATATTTGCAATCTGAAGCTTCTTCTTCGATCATACCATTTGATCTTAGTTTTGTTACAGTTTTGTTGTATGATTCTGTGTAAGGTCCACAACGTTTATGAAGAGCTTCATATCTTCGTAGCTTCGAGATTAGAAAAGAAGAAGGTTTATAAGGTGATTCTTTACGATATGATGCTGATTCGTATCTACTGAGGCAAGAATCTTGATCGAATCGACTGGAAAGAAGCCCACCAAGTAGTTTGTCTTCGTGCTCAAATCCTGCAGAATGTAGCTTCTTTTTGTGCTTCACACGCGACTCCATTGGATCATCTTCTTGGTCAAAATCTATTACACACAAAAGATATCGAATATAAGAAAACTGTATGATATAGTTGGAATTGATCATTGAATTCAAACATAACGTAATAATGCAGAAGGAAGTAGATAGAAATGAATGTTCATTAATACCTCTGGGAGATGCCATATCATTATCAAGAACTCGAGCATCAGCAACAGCCCAGATGCTATTTGGTGAAGAATCCTTCAAAATGATGGAAATTGAGAACAAAACTGAAAGACCCATCAAGCAAACAACAAAACACCCCATTAATTTCAAAGGATTTAACCCAAATCTCGTCTGTTGATCCCGGGATATATCGCCGCCTCCGAGATCGGAAAACTTGGGTGGATCGCCGTAATTTTTGTTCAATCTTCTCATATCTGGCTACAGGTGCGAGAAGAACGGTGAACAATGAAGTCAAAACTGCAGACTTATAATCAGTGGCTTCGTTTTGTAGAGGAAATAGTTTGAATCGATGAAGTGTGTGGAAAAGGTGTAAGTGTGTGTTCTTTGATGAATTGGAGAACTTGATTGCGATTGTAGTTGTTTTATAGTACTACGAATCGACATTAATTGGGTTTAACGGTGAGTGTTGGATGCATCGGCATCAGAGGACATTGATTGTCGGTGACACCTTCGATAATCGAATTTGATTCATAGAATTTGGGTCGAAATATCTTGGGTGTTAGGGCTTGAGCCCAAAGGAAGAGATCGAATTTCAAGAAAGAAAAAATTACAAGCCCAATTTTTTTATTATTTATTATTATTATTATTATTATTTTTTCAGATTTCCATCCTATTTTCAAATCTTCAACCTTATAATATTCCGAGTAAATTACAACAAAAACAAGTTAAATATCCTTCTACAAAATCTTCTATTTTTCTTTCTATTCATTGGATTATAACAAGTGTCATAATTAAAGGATAAAATGAGGAAAGTGAATTAATGGATTATGACAATCGGGAGGATGATTAGGAGATAAAATAGAAATTTGCATTTGCTTCCTAATTTATCTTTTAACTCGGATAGTCCCTGTGTTATGTTTTTGTTACGTCGATAGTCTATATCAGATATAAAATGTTTATTTTGCCTTTAATGAATATTTTTTATGTCAATTCTTTTTTTATTATTCCAGTTATTTTATTAAATAAATTATATTAATAATATATTTTTAGAAAAATTATACACCCACCTTAATCCTCTTACAGTTCCTACCATCATCTCCGGTAATAGATACAGTTTTCTGACACCAACTTTGGCCATCATCTCTGTTCATAGATCCAATACCACAGAAATTAGCCAAAACTCAACACAGAGTGCAAATGTACCTAACATTCCACAATAAATCTGAAAACACATCTAAAATCAAACTTGTAACTCAAATTCAAAACCAAAATAAAACATAAAATCAAATCTAAAACCAAAATGGATCCTAGATGCAAATCCAAATCCAAAATCGAAGATGCAATTCGAACTAAAATACATACCCGAAGTTCATGATGCAAAAATCACATATAAAATCACAGATGCAAAAAACCTACATAACCTACATACAATTCCAGATGCAAATCAATTAGTAAAAAAAATATACCCATATTTGATATATCATTATCATTTGAGTAAGCTGATAAACAAACTATACCATGGAAATTTGGAATAATTATACTTATTATGAAAATAAAATAAATTATTCACTAAATACGAATGATGCAGTTCTTTTTTCCGATAACACTTTTATATGCATACGATAGGATGTAAGTTTTGTTCATCTTATTATTATGGATGTTCAAAACCGGATATCCGAAAATTCGGATATCCGAAAATTTTGGATTTGATATCCGAATCCGTATCCAAAATTTCGGATATGGATTCGGATAATTTTCGGATATCCGGTTTTATTTTTTTATTTTACAAATCTAATTAAGTTATCTATAAAAGATTTTTTTAATATTTAGACATTGTAAACAATAAATACAAAAGTAAAAAAAAAAAAGAAAGGGAAAAATCCATAAGCTTTTGTATGCCTTTGTGGAAGTATATGTACTGCCATCATGTTATACCGCATACAGGGCCGGTCCAGACGGTGGGCAACCCGGGCGACCGCCCATGGCCCACGTCTCCAGGGGGCCCCAAAATTTATGGGCTATGGAGTGTATATATATAAAAAAAAGTTATTACCTAAATGATTTTTAGGGCGTAAAGTGGGTTCAAACTCAAATTAGCTCAAAAGATAAACAATTTGGCTTGCTTGTTATTGCTAATTGATCACGTCTAAACCGAAGAATAAATAATATTTTTTTTAATCTTTATTATATTTGTCTTTGAGGGGCCCTTTTTTTCTTTTCGCCCCGGGCCCCATATACGTTTGGACCGGCCCTGACCGCATATTTACCGTTAATAATTAACAATAGTTTTTTTCTCAAAACAATTGGAACGTTTATTCAGGTCAATGTTGTTCAAACATCTATATACTGTAATGGGTAGTAGTGTTAAAAATGTAAAAAACAAAAAGAAATAATAATAACGTAACGAACACTCGCAAGATCAAATACAAGTAATCTCATCTTAATGGCCTTTTATGTTTTCAGATAATAGAAAAAAATCGGATTTCGGATTTCGGATATCCGAAATATCCAAAAATTTACAAAATCAATATCCATATCTGAATCCAAAAAACCGGATATCCGAAATTTCGGATTCGGATATCCAAATTTTCGGATATCCGAAATTTCGAATATCCAGAATTTTAGATAAATTCGGATCGAATTTTTGGATTTTCGGATTGGATTTTTGGATACGAATATTTTTGAACACCCATACTTATTATCGTTTTCATAGATTAGTTTAACTAGTTTAGTTGGTTTATAATTAGTTTTTATACTTATAATTAGTCATTTGAATCACCTACTCTAATTATTAGATTTGATTGTAATACTACTAGATATAACCGGATATTGATGTGTCATGTTTAACTTGGTTGTTGGATTTTCCGAAAAGTTTACACTGAAAAGATCTTGTTTAACGAATGTCTTTTATGACTCAGAACAAATCTGATGCTATTTGTTAAGACTCAAAACAAATCCGATGCTATTTGCCAAGTTCTTATGACCCTTGTTAGGAAGTAATGCGGATAACTAAGCATAACCAAAAACACACAAGACACAGTATTTACGTGGTTCGGTCAAGGTGACCTACGTCCACAGGCAAGAGGGGAGTATTCTTTATTTATGAGCTCTCAAACAGAGGTTACAAGGACAATTCACCAAAGATTTGCCTATCACTTTAGAAGTCAAAATAAGACCCATCAACTTAGCATACATCCCTATTTATACTTGAGGGATCAGACCTAAAACCCTAATGGGTGAAGCCCATTGGCCCATAGGCCAATGAATGGTGTTAACCAATCATAATCCTCCATGCATTAGCTTCTAGAACATTCATCAATGACATACAACACATAAGTATCAGCAACAAACATGATGAAGCACCATGAGCCATAGTGGAGCATCATGATGCTCATGTGGCGCATCATGAACACTAATGGTCCAACATTCATCGTGGTGGCACAACCTAGTGTATTCCTTGACCATCACCAAATTTTGAGTATCATAAAGGACTTCATAGCACACAGGGCTCATCTTAAAGCACCTTACACCAAAATGGCACATCTTGTATGGAGATGGCCTATCCCATGCAAGGATGGCGCAACTCCCTCTCACTTGGTACAACATCCTTCCAATGTAGCGCAACTTATACTAGATTGGTGCAACACCTTCCACTTGGTGTAGCTTCTACCATAGTGGCACAACTTCTACCATAGATGGCGTAACTTCCATCTACTTGGCGCAACATCCTCATGGATGGTGCAACTGATGGGTTTTAGGTAAAACAAATAAACTAGAAAAACAATTCCTAAGTTCACATGCAACCTACTTTGGATCTATGTTTTAACTATTGAACATATAACTTTGAATTGCAAAACAAGAACCCTAGAGGAGAGAGGCTATTTTCGAAAATAGTAAACTAGGGTTTAGGAGTTACATACCTTTCAATTGTTATAGCAAACAATTGATAATCCTCTTGATCTTGATCTTGATCTTCTTGGAAGCTTAGCACCACAAATGTAATGCCTCTAATGGAATCACACCCAAGAACTAGCAAGAAGGAAACTTGGAGGAGAGAGGATGGAGAGAGTATGCAATTTCGGCCTTAGGGTTTCTTCCAAAGAAATCAGTACACAAAATGTGAGCCAGGAGGCTCCTTAAATAGTTGAGGGAACTAGGGTTTAGGGAAAACCCTAGTTATCCTTTGCTTAGGGCCTAAGCAAGACCCAAGGCCTTATCTTGGAGCCCTTGGACGAATTCTCTAGGGTTTCCCCTAGGGTTTTCGTCCACCCCCTTCCAAGGGGGTTCTGGAACCTTCCACTCAACTATTAGTTAATTGCAAACTAGTCCCTGCACTTTATAATTAATTCTTTTAACCCCAAAATTAATTCTGATTAATTTCTGGCTAACAATTAATTAAACATAATGATTTCTAATTAATATATTAATCCATTAACATATTAATAAATCATTTATATTAATTTATTAATCTTATAAATTAATATCTCTCCTTTCATAATTTCCTTGTCCAGTTGCTAGGTTGAGGGCAACCCAAAAGGACTGTGCTGCTATCAATTCAAGTACATACCAATTATAGTTATGGGCTTAGACACCTAATCCAACAGTCTCCCACTTGGATAAGTCTGTAACTATAATTGCTAGTATGCCTTCTAAATTTGACCAGCAAATTGTAGCTTCCAAAAGCTGCTGCCGAACTCTGACCCAGTCAGTTATGTGTCCTAAGATAAGTGATCATATAATCCTTCGTTCTGCTTGATATCCCCAGACAAAAGACATGGAATGTAATCAATCTGTTTGTCCAGAATCTATGTTTCCCGATTCCTGATTTGTGATGATGTAGGACTTCTAATCGAACACATCAATTTAGTCCTGGCTGGGCCCAGCACATAAGTCAACACCAAATCATCGAGGGGCCCACAGATATCGCTTTTCCTGTTAGGGCAAAAGGAACGAATAAACGTTGACTCATATGCTTGTATCTTTTACTCATCAAATTATACATGACAATACGTTTTATAACACCAAGTTACTGATGCGTTTTCGTATCACCAATGCACAACCGACTTGTAAATTACAACTCATATATCTTCGTTTCAAGATTATAAGATATTATCGTCTCAGTATTACTCGTGATGAATTCCATGAAGTAATACTCTGAGCGAGGGTTTATCCAATACTCAAATCTCAATTTCTGAGTACTCATGAACATTGCAGCAATTCTATTGCCATGTCTATCCTTAGACAATCTGCAATCCAATTCATGACAGTCTTAATTCACTACTTACTTCCAAGAGTACGAGCGACTGTGGAGTTTGAATAATCTCATTATTCAGGAAGTAAAACATGCAAAATATGAAACACAATAATAAACAATTGACAAAAGGTAGTAGCCAAACTTATAAATAA